TTGAAAGGATGCACACCTCTTAAATAATATCAATCCAAACCTATTAAGTTGTTCAATGAGTTAAAGTCCAACCCGACTAACACACTCAATATTCACGTCCAATATAAATATACCGTTGTATAAGAATTTTAATGGATCGGAAAATCACCCTTTGTCTTGTCTTTTGTTTCTCTTTTGCCTAGGTTTTTTCCCAGCCACAGAGAATCATCATCAAGATATTAATTGAATTGCCTACAATTTCCCCAACACACCATTAGCAACGAAAATTGAAAAGACATGGCATGGGGCATTCACTTATCACTGTCAGATTTAGATATCCCCGATTGTACGTACCGAATGTTATTCCCATCTCACGTCATGTGACTAAATAATTAGTTATGATGAGTTTTTCAATTAGTTTTGAGGTGTTTTTTGTTTTTCTGTTAGACGTCGGAGAATACTTCAATACTTCGGTTATATTCACCAACATATACAATTGCTAGACATGATAGGATACGTTCACTCATCGCTGCTAAACTTAGATAGCTCAACTGTAATTATTGTTGTCTCTCTCGTCACGTGATTAGACAATTGGTTATAATCTTCTATTAAAAAATAATTTGGTTATATTATGTACCTATGTATACAACAACTACATTGAGTTTTCTCCTACAATTAGAGATATGTGAACGTGTTTTCCTTACCTATATAACTGTTCTAAAAATCTCCGCCTAGCGTTGCCTAGGTGTTAGGCGGTTGGCCACCGTCCCGATAAATGCCTAGACGTTTGAAAATTAAGAAATGGCGCCTAAACTTACTGAGGCACCTGCTTAGCCCGCCCAGACTCACCCAAACACCTGCCTAGATTGCGACTCATTTAGATAGAAAATAGATAACTTTCATTTTGCATTTTACTTTTTTAATAAATTGTAAGAGACTTGTTGAATACTTAAAGGAACACACGTTATATACTTGTCCTCCATGTTTTCATTATGTTACAATAGCTCATAATATATATGTCATTCCATTTTGTATTTTATGATGAAATCGTTTATATTTTAAGTATCAATAGATATTTATTTACATGAAATATAATAGATTTAATTAAATCCGTTTAATTCGCCTAGGCGCCTAGGCGTTAGGCCCCAGCCAGCAACCCAACTAACGTCTAGCGTTTTTTAGAACCTATATTTTTGTTTAATCGAAACAAAGAAATGGTATTATCTCTTCCTCTAATATCTTGCCATAATATTCTAGATTGGGTGAGGTTTAGTAAGTTTTATAGGTCTACTCTTGGAGTGTACTCCAAGCCTTTCTGAAACCCTAGTCGATCCTCCTGTCTCCTCCTGTCTCTAGTCTTTCTCATGGCCACCGATTCTTCCTCCTCTCTTTCTTCTTCCTCGTCCTCCTCATCCGTCACCCCCACCCACTTCTCTAACCCTAGCACTGCAAGCTTCCTCAAACTCGATGAAGAAAGCTCAATGGCTTTGACAGATGAAGCCGTTTCTCATTGGCCAAAGTCTATACAAATTTGTTGATGGGTTTCACTCTGCTCCTCCTGCCACCATTCTCATCGTGCCGCCGACCGATCCCAAGTCTTCCAACAGCCACGATCAAAACATCCAGTCATGTGATGACTGCTTGAATCCAACATGATATTTTACTTTAAACTAATTAAATTGCGGAAATAGCGAAAGATCCAAACTTTGGTTTAGAAGAACAAACACATTTTGTTTTAGCTAATTTAGCTACACCCATGTATGCATGATAATCAAACACTTTAAATGTACATTGCTTCATCCATGAAATTATAAAGTAGCTAAGTTTATGTTTGATCAGACAATAAGAATTGCAGGATTGCTCACTCCTAGTACTGCAAGCCTTGTGGTCCAATGGCCACAAAGGAGTAGGGTTTATGAAGTTGAGTTGAATTGCATTTATGCCCTCGATCAACTCTGGTACATGGATTAGGCAGTTGATGGTTTAATGAATGAGGATTCTCCGAATCCTCTTTGTGAGGATCTCAGGAATCCTCAAATTGTGCTCGTTCATCATATATCATACGATCAGCTTTCGCCAGATATTGTTCATGTTTAATTTTAAATAAAATTATTTAAAATAATTTCTGACTGTATAATGTACAATGTACGATGAATATATACAATATGAGTATCACAAGGAGGATCTGGATAGATCCTCGTTCTGGTTTAATTAGTTTAACTAATATAAAACTTCAACCAAATATAAAATTAAGGAACGAATAATTAAACGAGAAGAGTGAGTCAGAAAGTGGAAACCTCAATAATACATGTCTTAATATTTTGAAGGTTAGATTGTCTTTTTCGCAGTCTTCAAAGACTTTGTAAACCTCCATATTTTATTATTCTTTGACCCCATCGATCAACCTACCATATCTCTATCCCAATTCAACACCACTAAAGCATTACACAATCATACAAATATTTACTTCTTGATTAGCCGAAAGAAAAAGCTCTAAAGTTAATATAAAATATCGCTTCATATTAATTAATTGCTCATGGAACCATTAGATTTATTTTATTTTATTTTATCAATAAAAATATATGAAGAGATTGGTTACTCTCAGCATCAACGTCAGATATAAGCACAATCTGGAGCCGAAAGGAATTACGTGTTACACCTAACTGCAGTTGTCAACTATGAATTTATATAAGAATTTACAGATTGCATATTAATGAGGATTGCTGGAAAAGAGATTCAAACCTAACTTACTACCGCCACTTATATAGTCGGTGAATTTTTACTCACCGTCATTATACTTTGAAATAGCGACGAGCTTAGCACTATTTGATTGTCGTTAAATACATGCAATTGAATCCATCTATTACATAAATCTCAAAGTTTAAACTCATATAATAACTATCGTGATTTTAGAGCATGCATTATCAGAGCCAGATGCACAAGGGGATCTAGGTGGTACCAGGACCACATGAGATTCTGAAAATATACATGTGAAAGTTTTCTGGATCCTTAGAATGTTTTGAATGGGTTCCTTTGTACCTACTAAATGTTTGATGTAATACATGTTAGGCATATATCGACAAGTTGCGTGGACAACACTCAACAAATTCTTCAATATCACTCATCAAGTCTTCGACGAAATGCCCCAGTGAATAAACTAAAACCATTTGTGCACACTTCGCGTTTTATTTCTATCTAAAAAAACTTAAACCTTTAACATTAGGGTCATCCAAAATTCATCTAGTAGCCTAGTCATTAGCCACAGTGTGAAAAGGGTGTGCCTAATCATTTTGTCTGAAGACTGCCCTTGGTCTAATGTCTTTCTATTAAAAGCACTGTTTGTTTTGACCACTATTACATGTGAAAATAATTTTCTACTACTCGATGCATAATTTCTTTTTGGAAAGCTATTAATTTTTTATGTTGATTTTCATCATAAATTACTGAAATTATCATGAGAATTACCTAAAGCCTACAAACTTTGCATATACACGTCAGATTAATTAGTTGGAGTAATTTAGCACTCAAACATGTTCTTTGTTCTTACATATTAACGGATACCTCATTCCTACTTTACAAAATTTCTCTAATTTTTTCCGACTCATTTATTGTAAATGAAAATTTGCTATAGATGGTTATGCATCATTAAGACGTGCTCATAATCAGGCTTAAGTTTTAGAAATTCTTTCCATTTTTTTATTCAAAAATTTTATTTTGGTATGTATTTTTTTTAAGATTTGATGTGAATCGTATCGGTAAAGTTTTATTTTTCAACTTTTCTATGGTTCATTTGTACTGATGAGAAATTACTGAAATTTATCTATGCTTGTTTTGTTATGTGTACAGGCATGGCGAATCAAGGGTTGAACTAGCTTACACTAGAACAAGAATTTTACAAGGAAAGTGTGAACAAACTCTCCCAAGCTTCTAATGTGTTATGCTGCAAAAGTCTAATGACCCCAAAAGGCTGTCTTTAAAGCTTCATGCTTTAGGCATTTAGAAAGCGTTTATAAACGAGTAATGCTATTCATACCATATTTTTATACTACCTTAGGTGACATTTGATGTGGACAGCCACATCATTTGAAAAATTTACAAAACTTAAGAAAATTAAGGAGAAATACTTCTCGTCTACCACAATTATCATTTAATTAACTATTTTTTAATTATTAATTTATTAAATAATGAACTAAATTTAAAAAATATAATTAATTCAAATGATGTGATTGTCTACAATTGATTATGAGATTACCGTTTCATCAAAAAGGAAGATTGACTGATCACCGGGCTTAGTATCTATTACTATTACTAGGATAAAAGTTACTATTATAAATTTGTAGCGTCGGTGGTTAGTGGAGGACCATTAATTGATTTTGGTCAAACTTGAATAAGATAGAACTCGTTTGAATGTGATTTTAAAATAAAAGTGTTTTTGATGAAAATATTTTTAAAAACAATTTTTAGTAAAAATGTTAATAAATTCTGAAAAAGTACTTAAGGTGCTTTTTGTAAAAAGCACTTAAAGTGTTTTTGGAACCTAAAAATATTTTATCTAAAAACACTTTCAGTTATTTTAAAAACACATTTAAACGAGTTCATAGATGTGGTGGTCGAAGCCTGGTTCGTCGTCGTGGTCTGAATTCTTGAGCCTCCGCTGCTGCTAATGCTATTGCTACTGGGGAACCCACTGCAGTGCCCGTAAGGTGGACTCATCTCACGGTCTAGACAGCACCACGTCTTGCGATAGGGAGATGGCTGGACGTTGGGCTTTGTTAATACTCAAAGAAATGTGAGAAACACTTATCCCCTTAAGGGTGGCAGCATTTTTTGGGCTCTATGTAAAAATGATGGGTTGGAAGGCTTGTCGAGGATAAAACATTGATTGGACCAACGTGGGCTTTTGTGTCTGAGGTTGTTAACTTGTAGGAAGAAGTGTTGATTTGGTGTAGGGATTACAGTATTTTCTTGAGGCTTGTTTTGCCCAGGCAAAGGGCAAAAATTCTCTCCTCCTTGATGAGAAAATGGCCTCCACTGGTGTAAGCTTGCTAGGCAAGTGGTGGGCCAATTTAAGAACGACAACAGCTCGAGAAGGTAAGTCTGAGTAGCTCTTAAGATTTCTAAGGGCAACACCATTGTCACGTGAGCAAAACCTTAGGGCTACCGGCCCCATGTCGGATCTGGTCATTTCGCTACTCCAATCCAATGGTCGTGACTACCATTAAAATGATAATAAAAGATCTAAATTAAAAAAATGAAAGCTAAAATCTTGAAAATATTTATTTATTTTTCCTATAAATACCTAATCATCGTGTTCACTCTTTGCGCTAAAACTCTATACAATTTATTTCTTTCATATCTTTATTTGCTTAAAAAATGAATTGTGAATAGTAAATTCCCTTGGAAATGGATAAGAAGAGGTATAAAAAATTGTTAATTAATATGAACAGTAATTGCCCAAGCCTTCTTATCCGCTTTGCCAAGATAATATGGGTGGACTGGCTCTAATAGTGCGAGGGTGGAATAACTTTGAAGAACTTTTGTCGGAAAATTGAAATACTAAGCAATATTCGACACCAAATTTTTATCAAGGTCATTAGCTAAGTAGCCAAATTGATTTCAAAGCATTGGTATTGAACTACATGCCTAATGGGAGCCTTGAGAAATACTGGTGTTCTCAAAACTTTTCATTAAAAAGAAAAATTTACTTGAAGTTTCCCTGGAAATTAAACTATTACACTTCAGAACTTTTGTTTTTACGCTGGCTTCTCCTCCAAGTTCAACTTTCCTACATATATTCAACAGTTTTAACTTCATTCCGATTGATGACCTCAATATTGAAGTTTATTATTCACGCATCGAGCTTCTAGAAATTTGTACTCAGTCTATGAATTCATAGAATATTGGCTCGTCTGAATGTGTATTTAAAAGGATTCAAAGTGCTTTTAAAATGACCTCAGTACTCTCTTTTTATTTGTGCATGATAGATTGCTTATATCCATTATGAAATTAGCTCTATAACTGTTCTGCATAATCACCAGAGGTCGAGGATTAACATGCAGGATGTTGTCGTCACACTCAACAAAACAAAGGTTAGGTTTTTAAAGTTTACGGCAATGTCTTATAGTTTCTTAGCATTACCTTTAAATTAATATTCCTTAAGTCGTTGTTTACTTTTTTAAACGATTTCTTCCAACAAATTAAAATAATATTCCTTAAGTTGTGGTTTACTTATTTTAAACTATTTCTTCCAATTTCTTCATACCATGCTCAAATCATAAGAACAAGCAGTAACAATTAATTATTACTATTATCAATTGGAATAGTCTGACTTGCCTTATTCTCTATCATTATATACTTTCGATTTTTCTTTTAAACAACACAATTTTCAAAAGCCTCTTTCAACTTTTTACAATTATCGATTTCCTTGTGATCTATCCTCCAAAAAAACATAATTTATTACTCAATAATGTTAGGGTTTTGGGTTAATAGGGAAGGATAGGGTTTTGGTTCTTAGGGAAAGTTAGGGGTTTGGTTCTCAAGAGCTTCTTTTGTGCTTCTCTCCGGTCAAAGACAACTATATGTTGTCACCCCTATAAAGGTCCGGTATCTCTTCAGAATGGTGTTTACACCACCTGACCTTTTTTGTTACTACTTGCATTTGGGCATTTAGTTGCCCATTGTATGCTTGGTATCGGCTGAGGACCAGAAACGTGGCGATCGATATTGGTGTGGTTTCATTGGATATGCATATTTGGCACTTTTTCCCCGACATTGTGACTATGATGGGTTTGAGCTGTGCTCCATGCAATGGTTTTTCTTGGATTTTTGTCCACTGGTCGTCTTCACCGATTCGGCTGCGTACACGGTTGGTGAAGCTCTGTTTAGGGTTATTAGGTTTTTGGTGTGGTCACTTTCGGGCCTCTACAATTGGGCTTAGTTTTTGGACTCCTATGTAATTTTTGCTTTAGGTATGGATATGAACCTTTATTCATGCATTATGTGCATATGTGGCGTCTTGTCTGTACTGACCTTTTTTTTTGGGGCTGTTTTTATTTCTTGCTTTCACCTGCGGAATCTTTGTAATTTGTTTAGCTGGAATTCAGAAACAACAGTTTTGGTGGTACGTTGCCCTCGGAATTGTCTCATCTTCGCAGGTTGAAGTTGATTAGCTTCAACTTTAACAACTTTGCAGGAACCATTCCATCATGGTTCGGGTCCTTATCTGAACTTCAAACCTTCGATTTGTATGGTAATCAATTTTCAGGTTCCATACCCAATGATATATTCAACTTATCTGCACTGCAAGTACTTGATCTAAGAAACAACCAGCTATCCGGTACGTACATACTTACCAATTACCAAACTGGTGATCATTACTTAATTTTTAGTACCATGTTATCTATCTGGTCTTTTAATTTTATACAATTCCAAAATTTTTATAGGTAGCATACCAAAAGATATCGAGAAGTTAACAATGCTGAAAGAGATATTACTTGGACAAAACAATTTCAAAGGTATGATTCAATCCGCTGAACTCGTTGCACTGAATATTTATCTTAATTACTCTATTGGTTCCTAACTACGGGGATGCACATATTTATCTAATTAACAGGTATCATACCAAGAGAAATCGGGAACCTAACTATGCTCAAGACGCTATATCTTGACTATAACATGTTCGAAGGTAGGACAAGCTCGGGTTTATCCTTCCTCTACGTTAACAAAATCCCTATCAGAGTGGCCAGATGATGATTTTAACACGTATTTGTTGATTTTTCAGAAATCCCAAACTTGATTGGCACTAAAGATCAGGTGGAGAAGTTGTATGTGCAGGTTAATGCCCTAAAAGGGCCTCTTCCGTTGTCTGTCTTCAATATGTCGTCTTTGAAAATTTTGGCTCTAACAGCTAACAACATGACTGGTAGTATTCCAGACAATTTATGTCAACATCTTCCAAGTATTCAGATCTTGAGTTTGATAAGCAAAAAATTTGATGGTCCACTTCCATCCAAATTATGGCAATGCAAGGAGCTTCTTGAGTTCTTATTAGGCTATAACAACTTCGGTGGAAACATACCGAAAAGTATCGGGAACTCGACCCAGTTAATAGAGATCAGTATAAGCGGCAACAACTTGACAGGTACCTGCCAACTCATTCCAACTCTACTTATATATTACCTTGTATTTGAGAAGAGGTTCATAACTCTTTTCAATTTATTTTAGTTCTAGTTTGGCTTCAGGCTTAGCCTCAGTTGTTGCCAATGACAGAAGTAGAGAGCGAGCCTTGTTTTTTGACTCACTTTTATCAAAACTCGACCCCTTTTTATTGAGTTGAGGATTGCTATTAGCACTCCAAATATCTCATTTTACGCTCAAAACTTCTTATAATTAGAAAAAAAAAATACACTTGTGAGAAGTGTAAAATGAGATTTTTAGAGTGCTAATAACATTTCTTATGTATTATGTTGTTCCTGTCATGATTATTTCTTAATTTAAATGTGGCTTGATAGGTAAATGAATCGTTCAAAATATTAACATGCTATAATTAACAGATAAAACTAAGTACTTAATTTTGAAGTCTCACCAATTCTTGTTAAAAATAGAAATTGCTGACATAACTTGAGGAGATTATTGTAAAGCTTTCTATATATTGAAGTCAACATGTTCAATAAGGATCCGTTCTATAATCGTTCGCTTTTTGTTTTTTATTTTTTGTGCTTGAGATAAGAGAAAAATATGAGGGAGATGACAAATGAAGGTTGGTGGGAGAGTAGAAATATAATAAAAGAATAAATGAAAAGAAAATCTTGAATAGTCTTGTGCACCTCTCATACCATCCACTCTTCTTTATATCTCATTTCTCACATGTATATATATTTTTCTAGACTCTGACACATATAAAAATAAAACAAAAAAATATGAAATGATTATCAAATGGGCTATAGTCTAAAGAACAAATTGATATCTTAGTTAGAAAATTAAAAGATATTCTCACAGCAACTAAATAATACAAACGAAATGTTTTGCTTAGCTTACTGGCCGTATCCTTCCATCTTTGCAGCCCATTTCCTCAAAAAGTTTTCAATCCTCTTTTAATTTTTATTTTCTCTTTAACAATTCAGTGAAACTATTGAATAATATGAAGTATTTAAGAATGCTAAGGCCATTAAACTAACTTGGGTGGTACGTTAATTATGGCAGATACGATACCAGATGAGACTCGTGATCTTCAAAATTTACAGATTTTAACACTCGATTTTAATAATTTTAATGGTCCCATTCCATGCAAAATCTTCAATATGTCCATGTTGAGACAAATTTCACTAGTTGATAATCAACTCTCAGGAAGTCTTCCAACAGACATAGGCATTGGAGTTCCAAACCTAGAATTCATGTCTGTTGCAATGAATAATCTCAGTGGACTAATCCCCAACTTTATCTCCAATGGCTCTAAGCTCACGAGGCTAGACGTGTCTTCAAACTCATTTTCTGGGTTTATTCCCAACTTTATCTCATTTGTCTACGTCGCTTGAATATCGTCATTTAGTCTTTTGCAATTTGAGGGGTAGCATTCCCAATGATATTGGAAACTTCACTAGCTTGATATCCTTAGGGATTGTATCCAATCTATTGAGTGGGTCAATTCCAACTTCTGTGGGAAGACTAAGGAATCTCCAGGGTCTCTATTTGTATGATAACAAGTTGCAAGGATACATCCCAGATGAACTTTGTCTACTGGACAACCTAGTTGAATTGAATATCAGGGGTAATCAACTCTCTGGTTCCGTACCTTCCTGCCTAGGTAATTTAACTGCAAAACTTAGAAAGATATCATTAGAGTCCAATTTGTTAACTTCCACAATACCATCTACCTTATGGAAGGTTACATATATATTGATCCTAGACTTGTCATCCAATTTACTCGTTGGTCCTCTCTCAGAAGATGTTGGAAAACTGAAAGTTGTGATAGAAGTGAATTTATCAAATAACCATTTATATGGTGCTATACCAAGCAGTATGAGTGGACTCCAGGATTTGGTTAGTCTGTCCTTGGAAAATAATAATTTAGAAGGTCATATCCCCAGTTCATTTGGAAACTTGCTAAGCCTGGAACTCTTGGATCTATCCAAAAACAATCTTTCCGGAGTAGTTCCAAAGTCTCTTGAAGCACTCATTCATCTCAAGTATCTGAATTTGTCTTTCAACACACTCCAAGGCCCTGCAAAAATAGTACAGCGTCTCAACCACATTCAAGGAAAGCTAGAATATCCACCCTGAAATATATAATTCCAGGGATCATATCAGCAATACTCCTAGTGGCCTTTATATCGATGTTGATACTACGGAGGAAAAGGGGAATGCTGTAGTTGCAACAAATACTGCGTTGGTAACTCTACTTCTCTGCAGAAGAGTTTCATACCTAGAACTTCTAAGGGCGACAAATGGATTTAGTGCAAACAACTTACTTGGTACAGGGGGTTTTAGCACATTATATAGAGGGGCACTTTCAGATGGGATAGGTGTTGCTGTAAAGGTCTTCAATTTACAAGTAGAAGGGGGTTTCAAGAGTTTTGACAAGGAATGTGAAATGCTAAGCAATACACGTCATCGAAATCTTCTCAAAATCATTAGTTGTTGCTCCCAAATTGATTTCAAAGCCGTGGTACTGGAATACATGCCTAATGGGAGCTTAGAGAAGTGGTTGTTCTCTTCAACATGTTCTTTGAATGTCCTTGAGAGGTTGAATATAATGATACATGTTGCATCGGCATTGGAATACCTTCACCATGGCTATCAATTACCTATTGTTCATTGTGATTTGAAGCCAAGCAACATACTCCTAGATGATGACATGGTTGCACATGTTGCTGATTTTGGAATCGCAAAACTTTTGGGAGGAGATTCTGTGCCTCAGACGTTGACCCTAGCCACAATTGGGTATATGGCTCCAGGTGATCTTGCTAACTACATAATTTATCTTTCAATTTTATATTTGTTGCATGTATGTGTATGATGAAGTTTAACTTGTAATTTTGCTTCCAGAGTACGGAATGGAAGGAATTGTTTCGACAAGAGGGGATGTGTACGGTTTTGGTATTGTAATGATGGAAACATTCACGAAAAGGAAGCCGACGGATGAAATGTTTGCTGGGGAAATTAATTTAAAGGAATGGATTGCAAATTCATTACTAGAAGATGGAATAATAGAAGTTCTGGATGCCACTTTACTTGGTATAGAGGATGATGATGATAAATTTGTGGTCAAGAGACATTGTTTGTCATCCCTTACGAGATTGGCCTTAGCATGTTCTGCGGAGTCACCGCAAGGGAGGATAAACATGCAAGATGTTGTTGTCACCCTCAAAAAAATCAAGATAAAGCTTTTGAAGGCTGTTGCATGAGGTAGTTTGCAGTATTGCATACTGTTGGAGGTGTCTATTCTTATATATGAAGATTATCTTGTTTTACATTACTATCATCATTAAATTACTGACTGTTACTAATGTTGTTGTGTAGGGGGACAGGGAAGCCAAACTTTTCAACCGATTGAAGTAAAATGCAGTTGTGTATATGTATGATCTATTTTTATTTTTATTTTTATTGAGGCTGCTAGTATAGTTTTGATGGACTCATGGGTTTCAGGTTCGAAACTCGTCATTTTCTAAATTATTATAATAATTTCGAACATTCCTCCCTTCCCTTAATAATAATAAATTAAAAAAATGTTCGAAAAGAATTTACTTCTTAATTATATTTTATTTTCTCTTAAATTTTTTTGGTAAGAGTGGTTCATTATTCACCCATTTTTTTATCTTTGGACAGTCACAAATATTTTTTTTGGGAAAATTAGAATTTCCTACAGTTTTTCTATATCATTTCGATTAAACATATGTGCCTTTTTAAAATTTGATTAAAGTGCTTTGACCCATAGTCACCTCTATTTTTTAAAATTAAAATAAATTTTGAATTTATCCTTTTATATGCATGATGCACTTTTCCTTATTTAGTGGAGATATTAGTAATTAAACTATATTTTCTCTTCTTCTAGATATGTTTTTTCGATCACAGTTTTTTTTTTGTTTTTTTTTTTTTGGTGTTATGCAAACATTTAATATTATTTCTTTTTCCAAATGGTTTTTTCTTTTTCAAATAGTTGGTGATCAACATAAAAGCTCCGTGTAATTTTTTCAATTTTTTTGTGAAATTTTTTTTTTCTGCTGTTTTTTTAGGTATAGTTGTTGATGAATTATTATTAGGTACAATACATTACGTATATATTATCTACAGATACTTTTGAATTTATGAAAATCATTAATTGATATGTTTATTTACAATTTTGGTATGATTGATCTGATACATATTGTTAATATTGGTATATTATTTTTATTTTGGTATGTTTTATTTTGTACACATTGTGTATTGGTACGTTTATATTATTTTCAATCCTATTTTGATACATATTGTTAATATTGGTACATTATTTTTATTTTGGTATGTTTCATTTTGTACACATTGTGTATTGGTACGTTTATATTATTCTCAATCCTATTTTCTCTTAACGTACTAAAAGAAAAACTTATTTCGGTACGTTTGATTTGGGGGGATTTAAAAATATTTTAAACTATTTTGGAAAGAAAATATCTTAAATCGTAGATAATTATTGCTAAATTGTAGCATTATTGTGAAAATAAATTGAATCTAACCAACTTTTTTTTAACAATTATCTCTAACGGAGGAGAGTGTAATCAAAAGGTTAGATTATAGGAAATTTGTTACAATATAATGTGCATGTAGCACCAAAATTATGACAAAAAACTTAATCAAATCACTAAAAGACTTGAATGTTTGATCTAGAAAATTCAAAACTGAGGCGCCTATATCAAAAAATCAAATTTTTTTTTTAAAAATTTTAGTGACCATTGTATCCCATTGTTAAAGTTACTAAACCACCGAACTAAATTTTAGAGATAATTCAAATGGTTAGGTTTTGGATGGTTGTGCACAACCATAATAGTCATTTTTCTAAATTCATGATAATTATAACTAAAAATTGGTGCACAATTACTAATTTACCCTTAATGACTAAAGAAATTTCCTCTTTTCCTCTTTAACCGTGAAAAAACTCGTCGGCGACGTCCACCCGCAAGCCTCCGTCTACCTAAATCTCGCAGTTCTTCCTCCCTGCTACCTCGCCGACGTTAAGCTTTCTACCTGGCATGACCACCATGTAGGTTCTGCAAGCTCGATCATTCTGTCTCCCCACCTTCATCTATTTTTTCTCCAACACAGATTAGCTGCCTCCCCCCAAAATTATATATTAATAAAAGATTGAAAATCTTGAAGACAAAAGGAAGAAAATGATGATGAACATGTAAGTACAACAGCTATCCAATACCAGAAGTGATAATTAGAGATAAAACCCAGATGGAAAAATTTGAAAAACTTGGAAGAAAACCCAATATAACTCAACAATCATTGAATTTAGAAAGGAGAGAAAAAGGTAAAAACACCCATGTGAAGTGAATGATCAAATGCTCATCTTTTCAATCACAACTTCCTTTCAGAGCTAAATCGGATGGAGATCCGGTACAACGACTATTCAGGTGGGTTTAGGAAAAAAGAGGAAGTATGTAGTTATTAAGGGTATATCAGGAATTTCATATAATTATTATAAAATTAAAGTTGTGGTTATAAGGTCTAAATTTTTATTATTTTTTCAAATTTCCCCAACCACCCATACCCTGTATCCGCTCTCTTCTCACTTGTTTAAATCCTCACCAAACTAATGGTGACTGATCCTCCTCCTCCCACCTACAAATTAGTGGATACGCGAACAACCATTTTCTAGCCACCTTGAGTGGTGCTGTAGCTTACAATAAAAGAAGAAAAGCCATTGTTTCCCTAATTTCTCTGTGCAACGGGTGTCCATAGCTTTCGCCATCAATTTTGACAGTACAGATGAGAGTGATGGGCTCTGGATTGGATGGGGACTAAGATTTGTTGTTTTTGGAGAAGAACGAGGAATGGTGGGGAAGAAGAAGAAGAAGAAGTCACTGGATTGGATGGGGACTAAGATTTGTTGTTTTTGGAGACGAATGAGGAATGGTGGGGAAGAAGAAGAAGAAAGGGTTTGCAGGGGGTGAGTTGGATTCACGATTGAGATGGTTGTGCCAATTTTTTTTCTCTCTCTATTTTTAAGCAGTTTAGGAATATTATAAATATAGGTGTCTAGAGGTTTATGCAAATTTAATTGTGGATGTAAAAAAAAAATGTAATGTTAGAGAGACTAAAATTTTAAACCAAATTTGCAAATTGAATTATATGTCACCAATAGAAAATAAGCACGTTAATCAACGCTTAAATTATAACTCAATCATCTACAACTACATCATTTGGTTTGCAAATTTTTGTTTAAAAATTTGTTCTCCCTAACATAAACGTGTTCATTCTTGTAAATTTTTCTACAAATTTAGTTCCCTTAATATTACCCAAAAACAATAAAGTTTATAAAGGACCACTCTAATCACAATCATAAATAAGCCCAAATCAGCAAATTATATTCTAGTGGAGGATCATACTCCAAACTGTAATTTGAGCTTTGTTGGTTGAAAATGATGAAATTGGGGTTCCATTATAAAACCAATTGGTAATATGGAGAGTAGTTCAAGACCATATAAGCACGCCCCTGCACGTGTGGCGAATTTTCAAGCCTACACGTGGACAATAACTAGAAGACGTGGAGCACGTGTGGCCGTTTGACTTCACACGAGGACAACCCGCTCTGATACCATAATGAAATTGGGGTTCCACCATAAAATCAATTGGTAATATGGAGAGCAGTTCAATACCATATAAGCACATAACCAACCTTGTCCCTCACCGATGTGGGACAACTCTCAACAGAAAGGCCCCTGCTAATATACGACATAATATTTATAATTTATATGTATGCAAAATATGTATATAACTACAAAATTCTTGGCCTTCAGGTTTGGTTTGTTAAATATGGTGTTGCTGAGTTTTCATTTTTCGCTTGCATTTCACTCTTGCTTATGTGTTCCACTTTCAACTACTTCTTAGCTTCACTTGGAATTCATACCTTCAATGGTGCTCCGACTATATATTTTTCTCATCCTTTGATGTCAATAGGTGCCACCAAACCTGTATTTTCGTTACATGGTCTAATTGGTTGGTGGATCCATTTTGGAGAACAAAAATATCATAGATTTAGAGGGTGCTGGTGCAAATGCAAGTTTATACAGTTGTTTCCTGTGTGGGTTGCTACGAGTGTTTTTCCCTCTTGGTTTTATTTGCCAAAACTTCTTGTCCGTTTCGGAAACTAGAGATGGTGAAGAAAATTATGTACTACATATGTTGAAGCATTGCTGAAAGATCAGAGTCTAATGGGAAAACAAGGGTCTCCAAGAAGTCCACGCCCCGAGCCGCAGGTTGACGATGACTTATCGTCAGGGACGAAAGACTATGATCCTTCTAATATTGGGAGGAGAATGCCAGGAGGAGATAACCATTTGAATTCCAAAATGTTGTTCCTTCATGGTCTGAAAAATGACCATCTTCATGTTGTGAGAAGTGATTCTGTAAAATATAGTACTTGTAAAGGGAGCTTCGTGGGGAAAAAGCATTTGTGGCTTCGAAAAGATGTGCGATCAATCGTCATTGTGTTTGCGTTAATGGGTTTCCTTCTCCTGCTTGATTCTTTTATAGTGTCTATTTTCGATTCAATGGTTCTTCAGAATAGTTCAACTTATGTAAGTAATCCACCGGGGTTTAAGGTAAAGATCTTACATAATTCTTGCCATAATTTTCTAAGTCTTCCCTTATTATTGTTCATAACGTCTGTAATATATACTCAATTCTTTTCCAAAGGAGGACAGGGTCCCCTACGTTATGAAAGAAAAATCACCAGCACACATGTATGACCGGCTTCTAAAGTTGGCGAAAGGTGCCATTGCTGAGGTTTTCTTCATAACTTGCGATGTTTGACTCGGATAAGCTTGTTAGATTTTCTTACCGAACCTTTCTTTTTACTCACGTAAATCTTTTGCTTTAGAAAGAGTTAAAGCCAGAGTCGTCGACTTTATGGGAAGAACCATATAAGCAGGCTGCTGCATGGAAGCCTTGTGCAGACAGGAAAGTTTTGACGAGCCTAGGTATTTTTTTATTTTATTTATTGCAAGTTCGTTTTCTATGATAAAAACCCTTTTCCTGTTAGTCATTAGTTTGTGATCTTCCCTCTCAGGGAAATACAACAAAAGTAATGGCTACATAATAGTCAGTGCAAATGGAGGTCTCAATCAACAACGAGTTGCTGTAAGTCTTCTATGCGTGTATAAAATTAATAAGGTGGTTGTTCATTCATCAGATGAGTGCTTCTGTCGAACTTATCGGTACGAATTCTTCTTATGATGATTACAGATTTGCAATGCTGTTGCTGTGGCATCTCTTCTTAATGCTACTCTTGTTCTTCCAAGATTTCTTTACAGCAATGTATGGAACGATCCGAGGTTTGAGATAATTATCTGGTCATCTTTAAATATGATTAAAAACTTATATTTGATGGTGCAATTTAAAATGGTTATTGATGCGTAGATTTGTTGATTTGTTTGGAGTATTGAGTTCGTTTTGTTCCTTGTCACTGCAGTCAATTCGGCGATATTTACCAAGAAAATTATTTTATAGATGTACTGAAGGATGAAGTTAACATTATCAAAGAACTTCCTCCTCATTTGAAAACACTGGACCTTGAAGCAATCGGTAGCCTTGTACGTCGTTCTCCTATATGATTACATTCATTTCCAAAACGATCTGGTAACCAATTTCCTATTTCTCCTTGCAGATTACGGATGCAGATCTTGTGAAGGAGGCAAAACCAGTTGATTATATCAGAACTGTACTTCCTCTTCTCTTGAGAAATCAAGTTGTTCACTTCCTCGGATATGGAAATCGACTAGGCTTTGATCCGTTGCCTTCTGAACTTCAGGTTATACTTGACTTCTAGTAAATAGATCCAAATAGATATTATTGTTGGCTAACGATAACATATTTTCCAATCTGTTGCAGAGATTAAGATGCAAATGTAACTTTCATGCTTTGAAATTTTTGCCCGAAATCCAACAAGTCGGTTCTCTGTTGGTTAGAAGGATAAGAAAATATGATGCTGCTTTGAGTGTGTTGGACAAACAATTGCTTGGAAATTTCATGCAAAAAGCTCCCTCAAGAGTACATGGTTCTGCAAGAGGCCCATCTAAATATCTCGCTCTACACTTGAGATTTGAGATTGACATGGTGGCCTACTCCCTGTGTGAATTCGGAGGTGGAGAAAGTGAGAGAAAGGAACTCCAAGCCTACAGGGAAATCCATTTTCCGCTGCTCATTAAGCGCTTGAAGAACTCAAAGTATTTCTCTTCAATTGCCTTTTTGATCAACTTTTCTAATTTGTTTGATGGACAATTTTTTGTTTAAACAATGTTTTTTCTGTGTGCGGCCCAAACTTGCAGGGCAGTTTCTCCAAGACAGTTGAGAAAGTTGGGGAGGTGCCCATTGACACCAGAAGAAGCAGGACTAGTTCTTGCTGGTTTAGGTTTCAAGCATGGAACCTACATTTATCTAGCTGGTTCTCAAATATACGGTGGAAGCTCCCAGATGAATTCCTTCACCAGCCTCTACCCTAACTTGGTCACCAAGGAAACTCTCCTCACGCCGAGCGAACTTGCACCTTTTCAAAATTTCTCTTCTAAGGTAAATGAGTTACTTTCACTAGTAAATTGTAATAAACCCTTCATATTATAACAATGTGATTTCGGGTGCAGTTAGCAGCATTAGACTTCATTGCCTGTGCAACCGCCGATGTGTTTGCTATGACTGACTCTGGGAGCCAACTATCCTCCCTAGTGTCTGGATTTCGGACCTACTACGGTGCTGGCCGTGCTCCTACTTTGCGGCCAAACAAGAAGAGGCTAGCAGCAATTTTGTCTGAGAATAGTATAGGGTGGAACAGCTTTGAAGATAGAGTAAAAAAGATGATTGACGAAGGTCAAAGGGTGCATGTGAGGAGGTCCGGTCGAAGTATCTATCGGCAGCCAAGATGCCCGGAGTGCATGTGCAAATCTCACTAACTGCGCTCGATCTGACAACCCCGTTCGATGTTTATCAGTCAGTGATAACTGTATTTTTTGGTGTCATATATAACATTTTATATTTTATCTTCTTCCCGGCGATGGTATATAAAGTGTGGCAGCTGCATGCATTAGTTCTAAGGGTTCTCCTTAAATAACATGCTTCTGCAAACATTAACCATATGTTTTCATAGCTGCAAGTTAAACTAACGACTTTCAAAAATTACACCGAGAAAGGATGAACAAAACTGGACTAATTAAACTTATTGGATTAAACCCGTATAATCCGAGTCAAAGTATAATACGAAAACATAGGGCAGCAGAAGCACTGTCATCATTTCCCTGCATTTAAGAGAACATGTATGTTCTAATCCCTATCTGGAAATGATCTTTTTCCTCTAAACATCTTTTTGGACCATGGACTGATCACTGTGCTACTTTAAGATGGAGGGAAGAATCGGTTCAGGTTGAAAGGGAGAGTGTAAAACTCCTCGTTGCGGCTGTCCCCTTTGAATTGCCGAAATTTGACCCACCACGGCATTCCTCTGTCTCTTGCACTGTCCTTGTACTCAAGTGTGTTATCCAGGAAAACGGCGACAATCAATGCCACAGTTGGAGATGAGGAGAAGATGGTATTCAGAAAATCATTGAACTGCACATCAAAGAAATAGAATGTTAGCCACCCTTAAATATGGCTCAAAACTGAATAACGATTTTGAATTATTCTTCTCTTTTTGACATGGTATATCATAAATTTTCATCGTATAAGAAAGACTCTTGAGGTTAAAGAAGGGTAACTCACCCATCCGGCATTGGTATGAGCAGGACCATGGAAAGCCTTCAAAGTGTAACCCCTGAAGTACTCGGGAACAGACAAACCCAAGAAGAAAGCTACACCAACAATAAAGAGGTTCCTCGTTGAGTTCATGTTCGTGAATTGCAAAAAGGATAACCCCACCGAAGCTGAGAGCACATAATAGATTGGCAATTAGATGCAGATAAACGGTCGAGATGAGTTGCTCAATAAAATCTATAAATTAATGTGAAAGTAAAATTGGATCCTTACCAACAAGACCAAATAATACACAATATGCAGCAGCAAATATGGTGAAGGGTATTGATGCGAACAGAGCTCCAAATTTACCTGCAAGGCTATGATTTGAGTTAAAAAGTGGAAGACGGGTTGGAAGTGCGGGATTAGGCAACAAAAAAATCATATGTTTTTCCAGAACTAACCTAACATGGAGAAGAATATCATAAAACCGGCTGAGATTTGAATGACCCTACGGCTTCCAACACGAGTGCTCCCAAGAAGCCCCACATTTTCTCTGTATTGTTTCCGAAAAAATTAGTCCAGTTCCACGAAGTATTCAAGAGCAAGACTCGTAAATACTTACATAGAGACTGTTGAGCCTGATAACGTCCCAAAGAGTCCACTTAGTAGGATTCCTATTCCCTGCCAGCCAATTCCACGGCTGAGAACATGAGCTGGAGGTATTGTGGCACTTGCTAGACGCGATGCAGCCTTGTATGCTCCAGTTGACTGTCAAAGTAAGCATTAGTTTACGTTCACTTATATCATCTATTCTTGAGTGGTATAGTCCGTATGGGTTATACCTCGATCAATGAAACAAAAACGGCAGCCATCATTCCAAAAGCATGACCAACATCAAAGGTTGGGGCACCCCATTGAAGAGGATAAGGTATTTTTATCCTGTTTAGAAGGAGTTGTAAATATTCGCAAATTGAATGTGCCTTAATGACAATGCTACATTTCAATGCACAAGAAATTTGAACAATGAAGGTAAAACAAAGACGCTTTTAAAAGTTGAGCCACGCTGGTGCCGTTATTTTTAGTTTTTCAAGTGCACTTTACAGAAACATTTGGGTGGGGTGAATATATCTCAACCATTTCTTTTCAAGTTAATGCAGACTGTGCAACCAATTAAAAGCTAGTTTTGGTACCAACCATGGAGCAGAAGAAATGAGGTGGGCCCTATCAGTTCGGCAATTGACTTGGGTTATGTCGGGGCGGTGTCTGTATGCACCACTGGCGGTCAAGAGGTGTGCATATGCCCATATCACTGTGACTGATATAAGAAAAGCAAATCGTTCCAATACTGGTAGCTGCCTTGCATGGAAGTTCTTTAGGTACTGTTTACACCAACAGGACAAACACAACACAGATAAGAAGATCGTATTAATTTCAACCAGCATACTATAAGATTTTACACAAAGATACTTTCCTAACATCTGCCCTTCCTTTCTCCGTAAACGCTAAACATAGTATATCATATGTTAGTACATAAGGAACATAAGTAATACCTGAGAGAAAGCTACAAAAAGAATAAGCATAGGAATGCCAATTTCCACACACTTTCCAACCTGAAAGGCATTGAGTGAAGTCAGGGAACTGAAATAAGTGAGACGGGAAGAGAATTGCTTTCATCTTTCAAAACTCGAGAAAATTAATAATTGAGAAGTATGGCAATGATAGTTTTTACTATACCAGGGGGAAGCCTCTATCAAACAGACCAAAACCCACCAAGGAAATAACTGGAACCATTCCGAGAGGGCTGAAGAACCTATACGGAGAAATGTAGATTTCCTCATTAAATATGAAATAAAGAAGATTATCGAAACTTGCTTGTTGATTTGGTCATAAAATTTGTACCTGGAACAGATGGCCCAAATTTGACTATATCCCAGAATAATTTGTATGCTTGAAGCTACTATCAGAGCCCCTTGGACTGCTCTCATGGTGTCAAGGAATCTCTAGAGATGCTTGAAATGCCATTAGTTTTTTTCCAAAGGTTTCATAAACCACCAGATTAGTAGTATGGTAGATTGTTAAAGTGGTTTGAGAAATTTTCTTCTACAATATCATGAAGGAATTCAAGCTAAGTAATTGGCATCTAAATGAAATTTGGGCAAGGATTTACATAGTAACTATAAGAAATTCATAAGTAAATCATCTATGCAGAAGCTCGCTCGCAGTCACGATGATTCAAATCTAAAACATTTTATTCCGCATTCGTGCAGGGGAAAGAATAGACTCAGCTTGGTTTCTATCAAGTGTCAACAAAAGAACACATTTCAAGTTGCAAAAAACCAAATTAAATGCATAAAATGAGATAAAAATTGAACTTACCGCATGATTGTCCTCAATCTTCATCAAGCGTGAATCATGAATTATGGATATTATCGGGACCATGAATGCGTAAGACCCTCCAATCACGGTTGGCAATCGGGTTCCAAACAATGTTTGTAGAAGTGTGTTGATTCCTTGAATAAAAAGGAGAGTCTGCACTACTCTCACTTTGTCACTCTGGTCAATTAAGTCAAGTAAGGAGCACATTCATCACCCATATCAGTCCATATAAAGTACACGAACATTGAAAAAAAATTCGATCTTGACCATTTTTGCTATGTGAAATTGACAATTAATTATTTCTTACGAAATTAGCAAGATTTAAAAATACACAAAATCTAGTTGAATTTAATCTCCAATTAAAACAAAGGCCACAAAGATATAAGAACTGAATGAAAGTGGTGTACAAATCAACTCACATCATCACCACCCATGAAAGGAACAAGGAATGTGGGGATCATCACAGCAGTTCCCAAGGCCAAAATGTAGTGCTGAAAACCCAAAGCAATTGCTTCCGCTGTTTTCAAGACAAAAAATGAGAACCAAAGTTGGGAAAATTTTAAAACCCAACAAAAAAGTCGAGACTTGGGTTTGAGAAAAGATGAAAAATAAACATACCCCAAGAGGGATTTGAGTCAATGCAGTACTCTAAGCCTTGGAGTTGGTCCATTGCTGGATGGCTTATCTCTTCTGGTTTTGGAGCTTCCATGGCTTCTGCCCAGTTCAAGACCCTTAATTTGCCTCTAAACCCAAAAGGGTTTTCACCAAATGAATCAAAGAACACTGATTTGAGAGAGAAATCCTCTCTGGGTTTTGTTCAATGAATGCAGAAATGGATTTCACTTGTACCAGTTTAGAGAGAGAGAGAGAGATTAGAGTCAATGACAATGAAAAAAGCACAGAGCTAGTGGATGATGGAGGCAAAGGAGGACTGAGGGCAAAAGGCTAGAGAGAGAGAGAGAGAGAGAGAGAGAGAGAGGAGATAGAGAGTTCAGTTCACTTGCTGAGGTGTGAGATTTGGAAAGCAGTGAAGAGGAAAAATTGTGCACTTGGCGCCCACTAGTGAGTTCGCCTTGGCCTTTTGAGTTCATATTACTCCTCTCTTTGGTAGGTCTTTAACAAGTTTCCGTTAAAGTTTTCATATTCCGAGATTACCCTTTAGCGAACTTCCAAAACTGGATGTTACCGTTGCCTGCCACACTGTTCCAAGTTACCACTACAATTTACAACCTAATTTATTAATTGCTCTGAATTCTAAATTACCTAAAAAGAGTCTGCCGAAATCTGTGAATCGTGTCTGTTTATTGTACATTATATGGTCAAAAATTATTTTAAATATTTTTATTTAAAAATAAACATAAACATTACTTGACAAAAATTAACCACATAATATACGATGGACGGACACGATTTCACGAATCTCTTGGATCCTCACCAAAAGAATCTATAGAGAATCCTATTGAACCTAAAAAGGTAAAGAATTAAATTATTTTAATAAATGAAATTTCTTAATCCTATCCTTGCAAATCTAATTTTTATCCTTAAAAGGAGAAAAAGTGTAGATAAGCTTAGGAGTTCTGAACTCAATCTCAGGGAATGGTGTCATAAATTAACCTACAAGTGCGAAACAGATAACTTTTTCTTTTGAGTGCACACTATGGACTATAGAAGTCACACTATGACTTTTTGAGTTCAGTCAATCGTCTATATATAATGTTTAGCTCAATTGTTAAGAGTTGTCAATTCGTACATGAGTACATGTACAAGTACTCTTAGTGTTTCTCTAGTTAATTCCTTATCAATGTTGTCAATTTTATTTGTTAGGTAAGTTATAACATATTTTCCTCACTCATTTTGTGTAGATATATGGTGTATAATGTGTGATACTTAATAGTAAGCGTAAGACACATGACTTATCGGATTATCACGCATATAGTTGTAGAAATTTTCTATATGTATAGGATTGCATGTTCTTAGAATATTTAACCAAACATGTAACCAAAAAATATTTCATTGTATCTACATTTCTCATTATTTATGTTATAAGTACGTGATGACACATACATGAACAACAATTATATTTAAGTCTCGTGTAGTGAAGGCCTTGGAAATATTTAAAGAAGTAAAGTTTTCAATAGATTGTAGAATCTAATTAAATAAGAAATCGTTGTTGATATATATTATTATTCCAAACAATAGGGGAAATAAGTGCTACACATATCTAAGTAATAATAAAAGTTCATATGAATATTCTTGTTAACTGTAAACAAATCCCTTAAAAGCATTTTTGTTTTATTGAATCCTTTTGGGGTGCTTTTAGAAATAGTCGGTTACAAAACGATTGTACGTGAAGATGCAGTTGGCAGCAAATGACGCTTTACTTTAGTACGAAAAATAATTATGTTTATACACTTTGGTATAGATTTAATTTCCACCAACTCATCTCTTCTTAACAACTAACAACTTAACCTACTATACAACAGCTATCCTTATTGAAAGAAAAAAAAAAGAAAAAAAAAAAGATGCAGTTGGCTAGTTTTTTGTGTTAAAAGAAAAATAAGTAATCTGACTAGACCTCAACGTGCGAAGAGCAGTACTCCGTTCGAATCTCCAACGTCTATATTTCACCACGCTAAGTAACAAGAAAGACAAGCAGCTTGGAAATAGGAGCCCCATTTGATTAATCTGTCATCTCTCTCTCTCTCGATCTCGTGTTGATAATACAGTGTGTGCATGATGCACGTACGACATATCCTGTACGAATTGCTCGAGTTTTCCCTTTTATCCTGCTGTAGCGCACAGCAAAGTTTCATTGTTTATACCAATCTCTCCCCACCTCCACAGACCAAAACCCTACCAACCATTAATGAACTTTCAGAAGGAAAAGGAAAGGACCCTATAAAATACATGAAAATATAAGACATACTTACACGGTTTCACCTCCTCACGTGTGAAGTTGAGCAAATTTAGTCTTATATCATGAAAAAATTTGAGACGTCACCAAAAAAGATTTGATAAAAAAAAGAGAAAAGTTCAACTCTTTATAAGATTTCTGACGTGTGACATTCTTCACTTCATAGTGTTATAAGAATATTTACTTGAATCCCACAACATATAAATTAATGACAATTATCTACATACGTGAACGATTGTCATAAGCAATAGCATGCATCTCTAAAAAATTAGCATGGACTGTACAACAAAACACTGAGTTTTCTCATAAGTTTTACACTTTATGGTATGGGCGTCATGGATAACTGCAAGCACAAGCACCGTTTTACCTTTTTTGTTCAATAATATAATGATGCGTTTGTTGCATTGGACTATCTCAGACTGAACTAGCTTTAGGGACTAAGCTGGACTGGCTGACACTAAACTAAGTTAGACTAATTTAGTGAAGCGTTTGGTGCATTGTCGGATTAAGAAGAAAAATAATTAATAAATTTTAATATTATATTTGTTTAATTCATAAAATTTATATTATATTATTAATTTATCTTTTTCTTTTTGGAAATCTCTTCCTAAACTTCTACCATTTTTTTCTTCTTCCTTCCCACTCTCTCACTCCCCTCTCCCTCATTTTCTTCCTTTTTTTTTCTCCAGCCCATCGTTTTCTTCTTTCTTCCCACTCTCTCACTCCCCTCTCCTTCATTTTCTTCCTTTTTTTCTCCGGCCGACCATCTCCCTTCTCTCTCTCTTTTTCTCCCCCATTTCTCCTAGTTTTCTTCCTCAAAGGAGGATTTGTGCATTTTGTTCCTCAAAGGAGAGAGAGCACTGTAAATTCGAAATCACATATCAAATTTCTACTATAATTTATGTTTTACAACTCCAAATTTGATTTCGTTTTTTCCTACAAATTTTTGGAGAAGAGCATTGCAACCCAAAGTAATATATATTTGGGTTTATCACAAATTTTGATATTTTCTGGGTTTATCACTGATTTTGATTTTGTTTTTCCTACAAATTTCTGGATAAGAACAGCCTTTAATTGGGGTTAGATTCGTGGGACAGAGACAGAACCGAAATCTCGTACCCGATTTTTGATGCTCCTCTCGTTGCAAAGCCATGGCGACTCCATTGTTCTCTCTTTTTATCTCTCTGATAGACGTTTCTAACTTTTCTGGGAGAGGAAATACGGCGAAGCTCAATTGGGATTTCTGGGAAGGGAAGGACGACGAAGCAGGGAGGGGTGAAGCGAAGCACAGATGGGGGGAAGCGGGGAGGGTGAAGCGAAGCAGAGATGGGGCGAAGTAGGGACTAGCGGTTTGCTCCTTTTTGGGGGGTCTTAGCGAGACCCCCTAGCTAGCGTTTTTGTCGAAGCGAGTGAGACTTAATCTCATTAAACTTAGTCCCTATTAGGAACAAATATGGGACTGGTCCAGTCTAGTCCAGTACTCTTTAGTGAGGACAAACAAACGCCCCATAAAAACCTTATGGTTAAGGGTGAAGATTGTAGAACATATTTTCTTGGGAAACTAGCAACAATTAAAAAATATATTTTGAAATTTTGTTGTGGAAATGATCAGTCGTCATTATACCGTATCGTGGATATAAAATCAACATATGGCAGTTACTAGCGAATTTTTACAAAGAAAAACTAACGAAAAGTAAAAAAAAAAAAAACTTTAGTTTTAATGAAAAATAACAAATAAAAGTGTAATAAATAGTACCAGGAAAAGGTAAAAAATTGGTTTTTCATTAAAAGTGAACAGTACCGCAAGTGTTTCGTTAAAACTCTCTTTTTACAATTTTTACAATCCAAATGTCAAAATAATTGCTCTAATTTCTTTGCGCAGATTGTAATTTGCAAACACGTGCCTAGTAATCCAACAGTAAAACGAGGAGTTTTTCATTATAACCGGAATATGAATAGTACATAATATGTTTTATATAAATGGTAAAAAATTATATTTTTTAAATTATTAACTTTTTGGCATACATATCTTATAATTTACACAACGTAATGTATTACTTTGTGTTAAAACCATTTGTTCCAAAAGCAAAACGGAGAGCAAAAGCTTTATGTTTAATCATCACTTCCGAGGAATTATCTAAAGGATATATAATTATATTACCTTCGTCATGGATGTACTAACTCTTATATATACACATAGGAAACATGAATCCAGAGACTATGACATAAATCATGTAAATAAATATATATAAAAAGTGAAAACTAGAATCTACCCAAACCCATCCCACTATACATACATACATATATATATATATATATAAAGTGAAAACTAGAATCTACCCAAACCCATCCCACTATATTATATATATATATATATATATATATGTATAGGGAACATGAATCCAGAGACCATGACGTAAATCATGTAAATATATATAAAAAGTGAAAACTAGAATCTACCCCAAGTCCATCCCACTACCATTGCTGCAGGATAAGGGATTTGGATCCTCTTGAGCTAATAGAGATGATCCTTTTGATCTATCATCGTGGATTATTAAATTTTTATCTAACGGCTACAAACAGGGAGGTCCTTTAAATTTATAATAATTGTAATCGTTGGATAAAAAATCAACGATCTACGATAATAAATCAGGATGATCCTCTCCATTAGCTCAGGATAGTAACCAAATACCAGGATAAAGGCCAGGCGGTGGCCGAAAAGAAAAACAGAATTTCCATTAAGATATTCTTCCTCTCCATGCGATTGGCCTCATAGCTGGGCGCCTGGACATATATATCCATTCAAGTTGCATATCACCAGAAAGCTAACTTTAATCTACTTTCTTTTTCTTTTGGGGATCATAAGGTTCAAACCATTAACTTATTAGTCTTAATGCATGCACTGCACTTCATGTTAGATGTTACATTTAATTATAAAGATAGATACTCTTCACTCTGCAATTAAAATGCATGCTTCTACATAACGTCCATGCATATGATTCCAATGTATTAAGTACGTACATGCGTATTTCACTTTAATGCACGAGGACAAACTGTAACATTATCGGTTTGATTTAACATCCATGCATATGCTTCCAATGTGTTAAGTACGTACATAAGTGTTTCACTTTAAACGCGTTGACGAATTCAGG